GACAAATGTCGGGTTGTTCAATTACGCCATAGACAAGACTACACGTAGTGACTTGGGGCACACAGATTGCAGAGCAGTTCCCAGGAAGGTGAGCTTGGTGTGCTCTTACGGAGTAGACTGAAATTTTCAAAACAGTCTGAAGCAGCTGCGAGGAGAGGCAGCGAGCACGTCGGCCTGCTGTGGAGGGCATTTAGGAGTTTTGAACCATCAATCTCCCAGAGTATACACAATTACTTCGAGCGCCTCATGTTGAACGCTATGTAAGCTTGACAACTTTAGTTGAAGCACGGCCTCGAGGTATTGGATACACAAGAACTCAGGGCTACAAAGATCGTCATGAGTCCACGCATTCAATTTACCAAAAAGCAATTAGGAATTTTCAGAGGGTGCTACTGTAGTCTTAGAGCTGATCTCATATTAGTGGGTGAAATATTGCGTGACCCGTAATCATTATGCTGTCACTTGCTGTAACTAAGTCACAACACCAAGCTCAGATGTAACTGCCTGAAACTGAGCGTACCATGCAGTGGTCCAGAATGTCGACGGAATTACTGTCATCTTTGAGTTTGCCAACCCAGTAACTCACTCCCAAGCTACATAGTCTTCGACCTTACAATAGGTATTTTCAGAAATATTGAATTTTGCCCTTCAAGCGCTATGTTACCAAAGATGTGTTAATGTGAAACAACTCTAGCATGCACACTTACATGATTAATGAATCATATAAACCCAAGGAAACGGTACATAAGTGAGCGTACTTATTTTTCTGTTTCCAACACAAATCATCAAATATCACTGCTACCCAGGTTGTATTGTATGCCTGTGTTTAATTATCATTTAACACTGTCGGTATAAGGTGGGGAATTTAACTTGATAGACGCTTAAACAAGTGTTTCACATATTTTTGATTTTGTGGTTATATCCTAACTATCCTAGGGAATTGTGAATCACCTGCTTCTTTACCAGTGATGAACCATTGTTCATTAAACATAGCGCGTTAAAAAATGTGGGCTTCAAATGACTTTCAAAGCTCCTTTAAAAGTATGCTTTGGGTGGGTTGGCATGTTTAAAGCCTAGAATAATTGTTCACGTATTGTACCATCGTTTCATGAAAAATCTAAAAAGGAGTAAACATCCCATGTTGAAGCGTACTGACAGCGTCTAAATCCGCTATATTGCTAACCTCTCTGACCTTTTCAGCTCGGCACGCTTATAAAGAAGGTCCGAGAGCACACAAAGCGGTCGTCTAAATCAGTCAAAGTCAAATTTGTCCTCGAAGATAACCAGAGGCGCCAACAAGATTTAGCGATGAAATTTAGTACTGATCTTGAACTAATTTACAGGAACGTGATTAAGCTCTTCAGTTTGCAGCCCGGATTCCTGTTCTACGTTGTTGGTTGGTCTGGTGTTGTTGGTCTGGTGCTAGATCCACAAGCGTGCTCCGGCAATTGGTTATCCGTACTTTAATCAGGAATCGTTTTCTCACTCGCCTCTGACGCAGCTTGCATGCCCTCAGGAAAGAGCCATATCTTGCGGTATATGTGATAAAAAGACTATTGATTTGCGTGCACACAGCCTTTTCTCTGGGAATGACATGTACCCCATGGCACTAAACGCAGTTGCTATCAACATTGCCGGATTGTTAGCTCGATTTTTAAACCATGCTTAAAGGAAATGTAAGCTCCCGTAATGTGGAAACCGGCTGTTTTCAAACCTTTCTGAAATCATGAGTTCTCGATCAATTCCAATTAATGGATTTTGGAAACGTTTATTTCTTTATACTCATTAGTACGTGGTTTTTGTGTAGACCTGCAAATCATGACGGCCCCTGTGGCTCAGTGGCATACGCTGGTGGCTGGCGGTTCAAGTCGCTACTGGTCATGAGTTCCAATCCTTTGGATCTGATTGATGCACAATGCTGTGAATGTCCAACACGTTGAAACCGTCGTGCAATGCTTTTCCGGGCAAATGAAGCGCAATCTGATGTGGAAACCACTGAAATGAAAACTCTATCATATATATATATATATATATATATATGTGTACATAAAGTTCCATTACTAATGCGTATATAACAATATTGGCCCTGTGTGTTTGTAAATGTCACGTAGATCATGGTCACTGTTAGTAGGTGTGCCTCCCCGAGCCAACTTCCTCCTGTGCAAAGTTCGTAACTTGCATGGCAGTAACGGATAAGGCGCGATACAACCCAGAATAAAAGAACACGTGCCAAGGTGGGTCCAGAGTGAATTTGACCAGCATCGCTGCCCCCCCCCCTTAATTTTCGTGCTAGTACAGGCTGCCAGCTTCCACAATAGGTAAACAGGTAATGGTCATGCTTCCCCGGATTAAGCTAGGATTGGCGTTCACAATAGTGTTATTTTGCTCTAGTCCCTGCTTCCTCCGTTTAACCGAGGCTGTAGCGATATAACGGAGGAAGTTGGCTCTGTATGTTCAAAACCAATTGCTTTTCAGCTGAAAGATAGTATGGACATACGGGTGGAACTCCTGTCATTCACTATGCAATCCAAGCTTATTTGATTGCACCCATATTTCAGTGTATAGTCGTTAATGACACTGAGAAGACAATAGAAAATGCATGCATCTATCAGCTTTCATCTTCTTGCCGCACTTCTCAAATATGCAAGTTAGCTTGCAAATGATAACGGTCTGCGGCTGTCCCCTATGGCTCAGTAGCACAAGTTGCTGGTTGACGGCGCAAGCTTCTAGTGTTCTTGAGCCAGAAACCTTATGGACCCCATGGATTTGCAATACTAACGAGACGCAACAGGTCGAAACTGCAGTCTCATGTCTCTCCGGACATGTGGAAGAGTACTTGATTTGGAAGCTACCGTGATGCAATTCCAGTTATTTTATCTGCTTTTAACAACGGAGATGAGTAAAACTTATAAGATTAGCATCACTAGATGCTTGTAAACAAAATTGACTTAAATCTAATGCAGTGTCAGTTAGGTTAGATGGAGCGTTCTTCGGGATTAGTTATCGGACAATGATCGCTGGTTTGAATGCTGATATAGCACTTGTAGTTAATTTTACCTTTATCTTTTAAATATTAGTCTCATAAAATGGCAGACGATTTCAATCAGAATTGGGAGAATTAATATGGAGAACATAGACAGACAGTAGCCACTCAGCTATATCAGTATGGCTAATGACAGTTTCAGATGCTAACTGTGCAACGAATAAGCCCTGTAGACGTGCAGCAAATTCAAGCCATTATGTTAGATGCTAATCAATTTGGCAAGGATGACTTGAAATCAAAGTACAAAAAGAAAATAGAATTGTATGGGCTTCAGTTAACCTTAGCGAAACAAGCACGACCCCCTGCTAGGCTTAGCGTTCTACAATGCTGATGTCCTAATGTCCTCTTTTGACCTGAAGAATAACACAAATTAGGTAGGCAAAATATACGGTAGTAGTAGGCATATTGTAGGGAGAACGACGGGGGAGGGGGCAGAGCGTGTATTGCCTCAAGAACGTGCCACTGAACTCACAAACCCGTACAGATATGGATCGTATTTCCTTCCAACGACGAAACGCGGATGCAACTAAGATTTTAAGGGATTCAACTCAGCTAGACAAGATCTATCAAGTACAACAAGTTTTCTAATAACACCAGAAGTGACCGAAGAGCAGTCGATGAGACAAAGCTAAAAAGTAAGTAGCCGAGCGACTGTGTCACGTTTCTAGCAGTTTAAAGTGCTTATAAAATGCTATCATGCTTACCTGTACAGCTTGCACCATGGTTGAAAGGACAGTAAGAACGAAGTGTGTGAGATATTGTTAAATAGTGTTGACTCCAACGTCGATTTCAGCGAGTGTTAGTGATCTGATTCTCCAAAGTCACCCACAAATAAATGGGCTTTGGAATGGGGAACGTAATTGGCGAGCATATTAACAGAAAGCCCGTCATAACAATGAGCGTATAACAAACCATGCACTGGGCTGTCAGATTTAAAAACCGGTAAGCACGTGAAAAATTGCTTGTCAGTTTGTTCTTATACATAATAGTGACAGTAAAATAAGGGCCGACCCCGCGAATGCTATATTGTTACAGTTTCACTAGTGGTAGAAGATTCCCAAATGTCTTGTCCTCTGTTGCCTTCCTACCGCACCCTGCCTCATGGTTGTGATTCCCTGTACCGTTTTCGAAATTCCTTTCCCTGTCCCAACCGATGGTTATTCTCTGGCTCTCAATGAAGATTGTGTTCCGTGCCAAGTTAATTAAGTCCATTTGCACTTTAAGCACATAGATGACCTGCATTCAACCGTGTATTTAGTGGCCTAGGTTTCCCAGTTCTGAACAGACCTAATTGACGCTTCATGTGGCTTCGCCTCATGTTATCAGTTGTGATGTTCCGTTTTAACTCCCTCGCCGTGGCATTCGGAGGCTGGCGAGTAAGACATTATTCACGTCTCATGTGACCTGACCATGTTGCGAGGTCATGTGAGTAGAGTTCACATACATGAAACCACCTCGTCCGTGAGGACAATTGTAAATGTTACTCCATGTGCAATTGATACACTTGCAATACCATCACGGTGTGTGTGTAAGACACTGGCCGAACGCCCAAGTTTCAAGGCAACCTCCATTTCCCATTGGTCATGTGTAAGCCTGTTAAAGCCACTGTACATTGAGACCAGCTTATTCTGCGTGAACTTGCAGCTCAGCTTGCTGGCTACCTTGGATAATTGTCGTTGTTTGATACGTCTGTGCGGGAAGCACAGGTTAGTGTACATTGTTGTTTTTAATTATTTGTAATATACCGTATTCTAGTTCCGGTCTTGTTTTGTTGAAACCGGTAGAAACTGGTGCACTCAAGAGTTCCAGCGAATTGTCGCTTACGCTAGTTCAGTGAATAAAATTTCTTTGGCATTTCGTGCCACAAATACAACTATGGTTGACTCCACATACTGGTTACTGCCAAACACTCGGAGAGCAAACGGTGTTTTTTGAGATGACTGTTAGTAAAGCTTACATCGATGGCGTTTAACAGCTGTTTGTGGCTAAAAGACAAGTGCCGGCGCCAGCAAAGATGCAGCAAATTAGTCCTGCAGACGGATGACTTGATGGAATGGCCTGGCCTCTTTCCGGCTGCGCAGGATCCACCTGAACGACAGCGATGAAACCGCTGCGATAACTGCATTCGCAGCATGTCGGTTTCCAGAGGTTCCTGTGGACGGTATATACCTATGAAGAGAAGAAATAGCGGATTGTAGAGGAAGATTGCCTAATATGTCACTGGGTGCGATGATAAGGAAAAGGCAACTTTATGCACATTTACTTGGCAATTGGTAGCAACTAGAAACAAATTTCTCTACAGATCTTTATCGCTAGCACCGGAACAATCAATACAGTAGTATATTGTTGCGGGAACGTCAAGTAACCCTTCTAAAATGTTCCACAAACTCCAGTGAGTGGGCTGCCAGACGCAGGGTTCAATTCCTGCCCACAACGTAGCAAGACCTAGTCAGGCAGAATCGTGGAGCACCGCGGCAAAACCGAACAATGTTCTTTCATAAACCACGCGCCCTACGCGGTGATCCATTTTACCCACAAAATGAAGCATCGTACCAACTGTGATCCGGCCTTCGTGTGTCGTAAACGAACTCTCAGTCCGCTTCGTCTTGTTTTGTCGCCTCTTATGGGTGGTTGGGACTCGCGTGGTCGCGTGATCGTGTGCGCCGCTCCAGACGTGTGTTGCGTGTGACTCTAAATCTCGCGCGTCTAGTCCCCCGGTCGTGTGCGTATCGTTGCCTGTTTTCGAGGATTCAGTGTGTCACCCGAATACGTGGGTGAATAGGGACCGTGCTCAGGTTACGCGTAACAATCGTCTAAGCTAACGAGATCAGACCTGCGCAAACCCATTACAGATGTTATGTTATTGTAGGACGCATGAGTTGATAGTGCTTATTTTCACGCAAATTAACCTTCCGTTTGCAAGGAACCTTGAACAGCAACTTCAAACATGTGGCCATAGTAGTTGTTGAAGTGGAAGATGAAATTCGATATCTCGGTTAGAACCAGTGAGGTAGTAACTACTTCTGCCGGCTGGAGTGGACGTAAAATTGCCGCCCTAATGGCAACAGTAAATCGTTGAAAAACCAAAGTTGCGAACAGCCATTAAATATTTCGTTTCATATAACAACAATCAAAGATGTAATTTTAGATTGCTGCCGTAAATGCGGACATCTGCATTGATCCATATTCGTGAAAATATTTACAAGTAGACTTTTCGAGCATTAGCAAATTCCCTCTATGGAGAGAAGTGCCAATCCGTGTTGACAAGATCACTTTGTGTTGCATTTCTTCGTTCATGGGAAGTATTTCGTGGAAATTTAGATACATCTCAGTTTCATTTCTGATTCTGAAATTTGGTTTCGGCGATCTTGCTATCGCCATTTTCGCAGTCAACTGGACGCCACCTTGTTTACGGATTATTCATAATGCCGAAGCAGTCACCTTGTGGTACTTGTTGCAAGATAGTCAAATACCATGCAAATGCCCTCACGTGTGTTTTGTTCCAAGGTAACGACCACAATTCATGGGTTGGATTATCAGTTGAGTATTATCATCGTCTTCACGAGATCCAACACGATTTAGTTCAAAGATTACGTGAAAATTGCCGAAACAAGATACAGCCAGGAAGAGTAAAGCCGACGTGTAGGTTTCATCATTTCGTTGCGAACAGCTCCGTGTGTTTGGCACAACAACCTAGCCCGAAGAGCCTTCAGGTTTCAGCTCAGTCTTCCTCCTCTACCCGTGCAAACTCACCGGCACGAGGTCCAACAGTTGTGAGACGCTCGGTTGCACATGGCATAAATTGTTTACCTTTGTTGTCTCCAACGGGCACTGATGTCCCAGCAGGTGAATGTCTGAGTGCTGAAGACCAGTGGAAAGAACAAAGAACGAAATTAAGAAGGGATATTAGGCGTTTAACTTCTGTAACACAACAGTTAGCCAAACCATGTGAGGCTGGTAATATACTTTGCCCTGCAAGGTCAACCTCGTCCGACCAGAGGCGTTATAACCTCGTGATCTTCCACGCGCCGGACTCCAGTGATCCAGCACCCCAAGTACGCTACGATCACGATGTTGAGTTATTACAGAGTCTAATTGACAGACCCCTCGACGCTGTTGAGGACTCGGTAAAAGCAATGCAAATTACCCATCTTGGAAAGCAAGCTGATCAACGAAATCGGCTTATAAGAATCACTTTTGTGGACGAAGCCAGTCCAAGACTGATCATGTCCCGTCTAAGTAGGCTGAAAGCTTTGAAGATCCATGTTCGTTCATACCTAGACCCAGTAGACAGGGAGTGGCTCAAGTCTACCGTCACTGAGCTGAAAGACGTACTGGGGAGGGGGAAACAAATCTTCGTATCGTAAATTTTCGGGTGGTTTCCAACAATCTGCGAATCAGGATAACCAGGCTGCTCACACTTCAAGCACGCCCGACAGCTCCTGCTGCGGCCTGCGAGTAGCCTTCACAAACGTTTGCAGTGTTATGAACAAGCGCGATAAGCTTTGTTGTTTCGTTGTGTCTGAGCGGCTAGATGTAGTGGGGCTCGCAGACATTGCTGCATTCAGAGTTATACACCCAAGTACTTGAACTCAACGGTTACTTGTGCTTCCGACGCGATAGACTAAAGAATGCCCACGGTGGTGTATTACTTTGAATCCGGTCATCCCTGCGTGGGAGACTTGTGAGCACCTACCGAAGTGACGATGGTTTGTGTGAGCTACTGTGGTGCTCCATCCGTCTCAGGCGCGGAGAACTACTGGTAGGCGCAGTTTATCGCAGTCCCCTGAGTCGTTGTTTGAATTAGCTGCCCCATCTTCGAAGCCACATGAGTCGTCCACACATTCTACTCATGGGCGATTTTAACTGTCCTCGAATACGATGGCCTGATGTTCATTTGATGCCTGGACATAGTGAGGTTGAAGCAAAGTTCGTGGAGTTGGTACTTTAAACTAGTGCGTCGCAACACATATGCTAGCCAACACGCATAACAACCCCGTCCTGTCTCGACCTGATGTTAACGAGCTACGAACAACGAGTGCGTGACGTTAGGATCCTGGAGCCCCTGGCTACAAGCGACCAGTCAGTGCTCATAGCTGATATGGAATTACTTTTGCCGTATTTATGTCCGCTGGAATCAGCTCGCAACTACTGGAAAACGGACTTCGATGGTCCAACTCAAGCAGCAAGCCAACTGGATTGGTCTCTGTCACAAGCTGCATCTGTGGAAGACTGTTGGATAGTTATAAAAGAGTGATTGACATCATTGTGTTCCCAATTTGTGCCATTGAAATGTCGAAAGGTTGGAACGATTAAGCCTCATTGGTTTGACAAGGAGTATGGAAACCTGGCTCGGAGGCGGCGCAGACTGTGCGACAAATTCCTCCTATCTGACTCTGCCAATGGTTACGGAGGGTATAGATGTCAGCGGAACCTCTGCAACAGTGCAAAAAGGAATACACGCCGACATTTGAAGAGCAGCACGCAATAGCCGCGAAGACCGCCCCAAAGAGAATCTTTGCTTATGTGAAGCGACACCTGCAGCCGGCAGGTGATGCGCCAGTGCTGGATGGCCCGGATGCACAGCCCCTAACCTCCAGCACTGAGCGTGCGTCCGCGTTGGCGGTGCTCTTCGCTTCTGTATTTGCGAATGATCAGGTGTATGTTCCGAGTTCGACATGTACTGCTTTTACCGAACTCGACAGTCTGGATTGCGGCGTTGAAGAGGTATGTCAACTACTCGCCAACCTTGACGGCACCAAACCTGCCGGGCCTCATGAGCTTTACCCACTGGTTCTCAAGTCACTTTCAACCATCGCCTCTCCTGTCGTGTTTGAGCTTTTCAACAGGTCTCTGTCCGAAGCTTCGTTGCCGATTGACTGGAAATGTTCGGTGATGAAGCCTACTCCGAAAGGCGGCGACACTAGCAAAGTAGACAAATATGGGCCAATTTGTCTGACAGCTATTTTGGCAAAGGTTGCCGAGAAAATCATAAACAAGGGATTGCTGCAGTTGCTACAGTCAAACGAGGTCCTAACGCACCGCATGGTTTTATGCAAGGTCGCTCATGCATTACAAGCCTGCTTGTGACGAGGCATGAGTGGTTGAAGGCAATAGGCAAGGGGAAGTCTGTCGACGTGGTATTCACCGATTTCAGTAAAGCGTTTGACAAGGTCAGCCATGGGGTTATCCTTCACAAACTCAGCATGTGTGGTGTCAGTGGCTCACTGCACCGGTGGATCCGCGACTTTCTTGGACGAAGGTGCAGGGTACAGGTCGACGACCATCTAACTGACTGGTATCCCTCTACAAGTGGCGTGCCTCAAGGCACTGTGCTGGGGCCAACTCTGTTTCTGATCCATATCATCGATCTACTTCAGCTTCTCCGGTCACGGTGTGCATTGTTTGCGGACGACATGAAGATTTGGAGATACATTGACGCTCCCGAGGATTGTGGCCTACTTCAGCAAGACCTTACCGCCTATCCACATGGTCTGCAGAAGTTCATCTCCCGGTCAAGCAAGCCGAGTCTGAATTTATGAGCCTGGGGAAGGGTGCTGAGGGCCAAACCTACACTCTTGAAGCCCAACGGCTATATCCCACACCCTCCGTGAAAGACCTAGGTGTACTCTCGCGCTACGATTTGAAGTCCGTGGACAACACGAACAGGCTATATCGTAACGGACTGCGCATGTTTTGGGCGCTGAGTCGTAGCTTCGGCAAATGGTCTGCAGAGGTTGCCATTCGCCTCTTCTCTTCCATCATTAGACCGATGCTAGAGTACGGTTGGCCCGCCTAATTTCCGATTACCTGAGGCGAGGCACAAAACATCGAACGGGTCCAACGGCTCATCCCGAGTTTATGTTGCTTGGGGTATGAAAACCGGTGCGAGAAACTAACACTCTACATCTTGTCCTACCGTCGGGTGCGAATCGATCTCATTATGACCTACCGTATTCTACATCTCGGTGACTTCCCCATGCTGAGGCCAACGCTGCACTTACGAGGCTCATGCAGCACATGCGGACACAGAGGAAAACTTGTCCTGCCGGATGTGAAAAGTGTTTCCCACCCACTGTGCTTCAAACGGAGAGTGGTAAATATTTGGAACAGTTTGCCTGAACATGTGATGGAGGCAACATCTGTGCAGCACTTCAAAAAGTTGTTAGATTTATATTTTGGCACTATTCGATTCAGAGAACGATTGCACAATTACGATGACATGTCACATTTGTGAGTCCTGCAATACCGTGAGTCAGATATTTTAAATGTTACATGAGAACGATAACGATATTCACGGCTGACAATTTTTATAACGTTTTTCACCATATTTCGAAAGAGTTGTACAGAATTCATTTCCACTTGTTCTATAATAACCTATTTAGTATTCATTGATGATTGAAGGCTATTCAGTATAAGCAAGCACCTTATGAATGTGTTCTTATAGCGCGATGATCGTGCGCTATATGTTCGGTACGAAACTAGACGGCCAACCAAAAGCAATGGATATGACTCACAAAAGTAAGCTAGGGAAAAAGTTTATTGGACGGGAAGGGAGTTAGCTAATGCTAAAAATAGGGCACCAGAAGAGAGCTAGCAAGGGAGGATGTAGTTGGGCGTCGAGTGCGTTGATGGAGCGTTGTTTGCAGCCAAGTCGTGCGCGCCGAAGGCGGATATCGTATTCGTGTTTCAAACAAACCGGAACAACTTTCCAATAAACAAACTGCCTAATTTTCTAATACATAAGAAAGTTATAATTTTAATATATTTTAGAATAGTTTAAACAGTCATACAGGGGAATCTCCAGGTCACTACACTCTCAGCTGGCAATGCTATTTGTTCGGGTAAGAACTATGTGCAGCAGATTCGCCAAGGTGACACTTTTTATGAAGTACAAAAGTTAAGAAGGTACATTACTTTTGTCGTTTTCTGACGCTTTCACAAAATACTGACATCATTTGGCAAAGAATTCCAAGCTTCTAAATCTTCCTCGACTTCGCTAAGCGGACAACGGTAGTTATCATCAGGCAGACGTGACGGTGTATGAAAAGCATACTTTTGTGAAAGAACATGAATGTGCTGAAATCTGCGGCGCATCATCAGTCAAAATCTCTATGACAGACAGCATTTCTTGTTTTAATTCAGCATCAACTGCCATCGATATATCAATCGATTCTTCAACGTCCATCTGTTTTTGGCGGATTCGACACTTACTACTGATACCAATTCAGCGTAGGGTTTTTGGATTCATCCATTGCCGTGTACACCATTTCTCCCTATTCTGAAGAACGCAAATGCTTAAAGTTGTCAGCTTGACAGAACTTTGTTGTAAATCCAGCCATTTTGTTTAGAAATAGATACATGCACAATTTCTATGAGAACGGATCTCCAAAGGCGCAGAAACAAAATTAACGGAAACAACTATCCAGAGATGAGAAGTCAAGATTCATCTGATAATGTGGCTGCATCTCCCCCTTATTCTATGAAATGTTTAAGAAAATTGATGAGTTCCGATTGTTTTTATACGATATTTGCAACGCTTGCTCGACTACTCCAACAAGAGTTAACAGCCCATTGACACCTATACCGTTGATATGAAGCAAGACATTCCAGCAATCGTTAGATAAGAAAAGTGTGAGAATAACCAGTCCATCGTGCCAAAAATGTGACAGAATGAACCGTCGCAAAAAGCTTGATGTACACAAGTCAGCTTCAGGGAATGGTTTGCGCATGGCACAAATTTAGCTTTGAGTGGATTTCGCAGATGTTTCTGCAAACCCGATAGGTTGTCCGCCATAACAGCAGCATTGTCAAATGCATGGACACGGTAGTCATTAATCTGAATTTCATTATTCTCCGGTACTTACAAAACCGTCCAAAAATTTCCTCTGCATTTGTGCTGTTTGTCTCAGTGGACTGGGGAAACGTATGTTCTGCAGTCATTTAATTTGCAACCAGGGGATTTGTGTGAGAGATAGCGACAGTGCTATCAAATATAGCAAACATTGTGTCTTTCTTTTACAAGCACCATAGTTTTCTTGTTCACCTGCTTTACAAAAATACTCACTAATTCATTTTGAACTCGTGGTGACAAAGGAAAGTGCTATTTTTCCTTCCCTGTTGAACCGTTATCAAATGTCCACGAAAAACAGGATCATACTTATCCAACAAATGTGCAAATTCTGCGAAATTCCCTCCATTTTCCTTGCTTCTGTTGTCATGTCGGATGTCTGCTCGGTGACCATAGAGCGTCATGTTTTGCTTGGTGAGAAACCTGACGATATCAAGTATTCGAGCCAGAATTTCAATCCATCTCTTTTCTATTAATGCTGACTAAAGTTTGTCAAATTTCTTTTTTCAACTAACCGTAACGATAGCTCCTTGTGGTTAAAAATGACCGAGCACGCGATTTACTAGATTCGTGCTCACGTGATTTTGGATTTTGTTTTTGCCAGTTTCTGAAGCTCATATCAGTCGAAATACCGGACTTTTCGCTGGAAAAATGCTGCGGCAGAAACCAAACAGAGCGTGTTCACAATCGTTGGTCACCGTTTCTCAAATCCCGAAAAACCAGTTCGTTGTTAGCTTCTTAGCCTCCGGTTTGTATTCGTTCCAGGCTGCACCACTGACTGCATTCATGATCGAGGTGTTACACGACAGTGGATGCGAGCCGGGCAAGCATAGTGAGAATTTCATGGCCCACCACAACACGCTACTGACAGACATCCGTAGAACCGGCTACTGTATGTTATCGTGTCCAATTTTAAATGCACTGCCAAATCTCCAACCTCGCGCGCATCTTCTGATCAGCATTACAAACATTTCCAGCCGTATCCCTGATGATAATGTCGCTTTCAGTTGCCCGGATATAAACGTTTGCAATACCACTTCCATCTTTGTTCTCAGTACGATTACCAACATTCTTTTTTTACCGCTCCGATCATGGAAGTGTTTTTGATGAATTTGCACTTAGTATCGAACAGCATTTGTACTAAAAATGTCGCCTCCTGTCACATGTCGCCGGGGTGGATGGCGCCCGCCCCGCCCCCTATGCTACGCCTGTGATTGGAGCCGACTGGGATTTCAAGTGGCCACTTGATCTATTGACCTGTAACCCCATTATCTACTGATTCGTGTTATTCCTAGCAATCACCACCCCATTCACCTGGCCTGAAGAAGTTCTTGCGTCAACAGCGAAACGTCGCGACAATAAAAACCTACAAAAACCGAGTAGTGATTAAAACCACCTGGAATCAAAAAGATAGTGAAAGTTTAGTGTCAAACTGTGGTAAACGCTATGTAACAATGGTTTATAACGGGTAAAAAGGCACATGCATCACATGTCCCGTAGTTTAGCATTAGAATACACTTGTATTTAAATACTAAGTAAATTGAAACTGAAGTTTCTTGTACATCCGTCAGTGGGTCAGATACGATGGAATAATATTTCATTGCAGGTAAGTATCCCTGGAGGTTGCTTTGTCTGTGAACTACGTTTGAAAATTGACGACGCCAACAAATATAGACCATAAACCTGTGAGTTCCCCAGGACACCTAGCTAAACAGAACTACGTCGGTTTTACTGGAGTAGGTGGCTGATGAGCTCAGTGTTTACCCGCATTACGCTGTCTCCGGATGAACAGGACCAATTCAACGAAGGTCTGGTTTTTCAGGAACAGTGTAGATTCTGGCTGCAGTAGGCTATCTCGGTTTACTTATAGGAATTATCATGAACTGGATAAGCCGTACTAGCGAAGGCGACAATCCAATTGTCTACTAGTTAGTTAACCAAATTGTGAGATGGCTATTAGGTAAATAAGGACAGTGGTGGACACAAAACCTTCTTTCCTTGCACAAAGTTTTAGCATTGCTTACCCTTTGAAGAAGGACCAGTTGCTTTCCAGGATTCCGAATTGTCAGTGCACTCGTTTATGACAGTGTTCAAGTCTTCTAACCATGCATTACGAATCGCAACACTGGGAGCACGGAAAACAATACGGCGGCGGCGCCGACAGAACCGCTCACTTAGTTGGGCGGAATGTGCTGTCTTATAGGATAATGATGAGTCCGTTGATGCGGTAACTTTCACGGTGATAGCAAACAGGTTGGACTCAGAAAATGTGCTGTTTCCTAATGAAGAGAACGAAGAACCGGCTACCAGCGAAGGGGTATCTGCCTGATAACGAAAGTGTCTGAGCGGTGCGGTTTCTCCTGGAGTGACACATGCGCATCGCAGATGGATTTCTCCATGTACCTGTGTAAAGGATTGAAAAATAAGTTCAGTGAACTTGAATACATTTTTTGGAGCTAATACGTGCCTAAAACGTTTTTACCATCTACTTATCTTTGTTCACTACTTTCGCACTGATCGCATTTGATAAACATGTCTGGGAACTGTTAAACACATGTTCCGCCTTCCTCTAGCTTGACGCAACAACGGTTACGCTTTAATACTGCACAATCCATGGCTGAGCTGAAGCCCTCATGTTTCGGTAAGACTCATACGGTCAGATAGTCTCGTTAAATTTATACCTGGTCAGACAACATTGAGCTTTAGGGCAAGCAGCTAGGGCGATGTTTCGATCTACCAACTTTAATCATTGGAGTGAAGTCTTGATAAGTTAAATGCAGTGGAACCCATGCCCTTCTACTACTAATCATGGGCAAAAGCAAGCTGCTTGATGCAGATTCAGGACGCCTACCTACAGGTTTAAAACTGAGATAGAGTGCAAGTTATGATACACTGCCACGTATTCTACCGACAAGCTCCAGTACAACAGTACTAAACACATCCCGATGCTTTCCAGATGCATGGTCGGTTTGGCAAAGAAAAAAAGAAGTGAACAATGAACAATGCTTTAGCACGAGTGAAACTACATGTGCTTGACAGGTCTTGCAGGATAGGTGGAGTGAAAATTAAAACTAAAAGGATCAAAGGATAAGTAAATCGTCATACTAAGGGATCACCGATTTAACTGCACTGCTGTATAACGATAGTTTGTGATGGGAGTGGAATGTGCACACACAATCAAGTATGTGACGCGGTTATGGTTTACGTAATCCGTGAGAAATTTAAAAGATGTAAACGACAACGCTCACTTGTGTGCCTCGTAATTGGACCGACGTGATACGTTAATCTAGTTTAGGCACATCCAAGCCATTCACAAGGACACTTATGCATGTATCCTCACCGCCACGTTATAGAGAGGACTGCTAAGCACATAGTTTGGTTCGCGTTGTATCGTCATCCAAGTGAAACGGACTATATTAAGTAATTCAAGTGGGAACATGTTTCGTCTAGGCTTCTTCTGAAAAGCGTTACTGTCTGGGCAAGAATGACTTGAGTTAGAAGGGCGTTCCATATTCGAGACAGCCGGAGTGAGAAAGCATTTTGTCGGTAATCAAGTCAACCATAGTGCTTAACCAGTTTCATCTGATGGCCTCTCAGGTTGGTATTTCGGCTCAGCTGCAACAGATTGCGACAAAGGTGAAGTATTAAGTAAACCATGATGAGATCTCCTCGCTGCCGTCGATATTCACCAATGTATAATCTAAGTAACTGCAGTTTGCGCTGGTAGGGGAGATGCAACAATCATATACCGAGTTTGGTTGCTCTACCTTGTGGAGTTTCAAGTGCATCGACGTCCCGCTGGCGCCATGGACGTCAGGACTGGATCACACATTCCGTGTGAGGACTCACGTAGGCGTTCAGCATTTGCGGAAAGACTGATGGCTCGAAATTTCCAAAGGATCTCCGTAAGAGTCCAAAATGTTGACCGGCCATTTTCGATGACTTTCAGTCTGTCTCAAGTAGCCAAGGTCATCCTGTAAAGTCACCGAGAGATCACATTCTTGGGAAGCACATTGCAACGGCTGGATCCCAAGTCGATATACATGGGTAAGTTGATGGCGTATGCTCACAACTTTGCATTTCACCAAGTTAAACTGGAGCCGGTTTTCGGATGACCACGTATAAGCCCTGTCGAGATCGCTCTGCAGTGCCGTGTGATCGTCCACTGTCTGGATGTCATGCCAGATTTTGACATCTTCTGCAAATATCAAAACGTTCGACTGCAGTACACTAGCAAGATCATTAATAAATACTAGGAATAAATGCAGTCCCTGTACCGATCTTTGGGGCACGACATACTGGTCGTTAATGGTGTCAGAAATAGTGCCGCGAACTCTCACATTCAGCTGATGTTGAATGAGTAAGCTGCTTATGCAACCAAGCACAGGGTCACCGATTTTATAGCTTCTAAGCTAGTGAAGGAGAATGCGGTGGTCCAGGCGATCGAACGCTTTGGAGAAATTCAGCTAGATGACGTGGACTCTTACTCTGGCATGGACTGATTCTATCCAGCCTGCTCGGGTTTGAAGCAAGTTTGTAGTGCAAGACCGATTTCGGCAGAATCCGTGCTGCGGTGACACTAGGGTGTTGTTGCTCACCAGGTATTCCATGAGCGTCCCTGCGACTATGCCCTCCATAATTTTGGATAAAACTGGAAGGAGGGTGATCGAACGGTAGTTCGAGGGCTCCGCACGATTCCCCCTCTTGTAAATAGGAGTGACGTTTCCTTCTTTCTACATTGTGGGACCCTGTATTTCAGCAAGACATCGTTGGAAGAACAGAGCTAATGGTTTGGCTATATGTATGCGGCTGTCTCCAATGCCTGTGGTCTGAGGTCGTCCACGCCAGGAGAGTCGTTTACCCGCAGGAACAGTAGTGTTTTCATCAAATTGGCTTCCGTGAGCGACACGTGGTCCAACCCTAGTGGAGGTGGGAGCTGTGTCAAAATTGGGTGTGATGATGATTCACTCTGGGATGTGTGGATGAAATGTTGGCGAAGCGCGTTGATCGCCTCTTACGTAGTTTGCGCCAGATCATCTGTTGCATATAAAACTGATTTGTGACAGGTAAAAAAACATGGATTTAACCGGTCCCGAAGTTTGGAAAGAGAAAGAAGTCCAAATTTGAAGGACACACAAAGGAAAAGATAAAACGTGTATCGGTGAAGTGACAGTAATGACATATTAGGAGTAGGGCTATGTGAATTAGATAACAATATGAAAAAGGAATTAATAAGTCAATATGGCCTATGCTCATCGTAAAGAACAAGCGGTTTGTTCACCCGCTTGCACTGATTTACGTGCGTCAATATGTATTATAATTCCAAAAGCTAGTTGGAAGGAATACAATCCAAATTACCCGTTCAGATAACATAGTGTATACAGTTGGGCGCATTTTTTGTATATGTCTAAATTGCGGCGCAAACAATTAAGGTTGGAAAAGTGTCCCAGGGTTGGCAAACCCGGATGGAGAAATAAACCTTTCTTAGTCCTTCAGCTAGTGCAGATTTCGAGTGAGTACTTGACGAAATCGTTTAGTCCATGGACAACACGAATAGGATTTACCAAAACAGCCTTCGTATGCTTTGGACGCTCAGGCGCAGCTTCAGCACTTGGTCCGAAGATATTGCCACTCGCCTCTTTGTCTCAATAATACGACCAATGCTAGAGTATGGCTCTCCCGCGTATTGTCCGATCACAAGGGGCGAGGTAGAAAAGATTGAGCGAGTGCAGCATGCAGCCACCAGGCTGGTTCTCAACTTACGTGGTGTGCCGTACGAAGACCGGTGTAAGAAACTAGGGCTGTACACCCTAGCTTATCGTCGAATGGGGGTTGACCTCATCATGACTCACCGGATAGTACATCCGGGTGATTACCCTATGTTGAGACCACTGCTTCGTCTGCGCAAACCAAGCAGCACACGAGGACACCGGTATAAGCTTGTCGTACCGGATTTGAAGCGGGTCGCTCACCAACTCTGTTTCGAACGCAGAGTGGCGAATGTATGGAAGGATCTGCCGCAGCAAGTAGTAGAGGCAAACTCAGTGTCGGAATTTAAGTAGTTCCTTGACAAACACTTTTCCGAGGTAAAATATATAGAGCGGAACACAACATAACGGGAACATGTCATTGAGCAACGTTTGATGCAGCTACGCAGAGCAAGGTCTACTTGCTGCTTCTAACCAATAATCAGTAATCTACTAAGTGAAGATAAAATGAAGCTGCAGATAGTGTAGGCACAAAGTAAGACAAAATAGTCGTTTTACAACATCATCTGTAAGTCTGTGGCGGAGCTGTACGCTATCAGGCACGTCTCCGGGTTGCGGATTGGGGAATGTCTTCCTTGTGGAGGTAACTGCGAATAAGTCTCGTCTGCTTTGCAAGTGAGACGAATACGCAGTTGAGAACAATTAGCCGTAGCATCTCACGGCGTGGGCAGTTCTATGCTGGTCACCTGGTTCTTCATCAAATAATACATGAGCTCGTACGGCGCTGTGTCAAAGCCAATGTGACCGGCTATAGGGTTACTGACCATTCATTTCTGTAACTGGAGGTGAGTATTTACCGGAGGACGGATAAACAACCTTCCTGGCCACCGGCTTCTCTGTAGGCTGCAACTGAACACAAAGAAGGATAATGAGCTAAGTGGATGTCAACGGGCTTCGTTTATCGCCCCGCTGCCTTGCGGGTCTGGTCTTTATGACCAAAGGCTCGGAATGGGGTCCCTTAAGTTAAACTCCTTCCTCGGCCTGGGCAACCGAAAATCTCAACGCCCACGCAACGCATGCATCTTTGCATCCTTTCTCCTGACTCTTGCTTCTTTTCGTTGCTGTTCCTCACGTTTAGTGGCACTGTCAAATGCTTATTGGTCAAGTATTAAATATATATATGGACATAATCTATAAAGGGAACACGTGGAACAGCATTGTGGAAGTTAGAGTGACGGGTCACCCATGTGTAATGACAAAGTTTGCATGGTGAAATTTCAAGTGATCTAAATTTGAAGGAAATTCGGTTTGATAATTGGAGATCTTTCGTGTGTGAGTCCAAAGGTTGTAACTGCAGTGGCAAATTAAAGATTAAGTGACACGTGAGCTTATATCGTTAACACTGCGTCAACCGAACCACATAAAATGGAATTCTTTATAAACTCCATGTGAACAGACTCACTTTCAAACACACAGTTCCAAGATCCCGAATTCTGCTAGCATAAATTAGTCGATCATCGAAAAGAAACACCATGCGAGACTGGAATCCACGTCTGGAATACTTCTTTAGCCAGCCAAAGCGATGTAGCTTGGATAGAGATGCTATAACACTGGAGGTTATTAGGTTAAGCTGGGTAGCATCTTCGGGGGCTTCTGGATGGATCCCTAGGAAGTAACCGATGGGTAAAACCCACCGAGCTGCTTGCAGGGTAAACGCCAATTGCTCTGCTTTTATGTATTCGGGGTAAAGTGATCTTGCATACTGAATTACCTGTGAAAAAGCAACTGAAATTGTAAAACAAAGTACAGTATTAGGTACAATCAATAGGGAAAGGTTGCGTCACTACACATACACACAACTAGCACTGTAAAAAGTCAACATTATCTTCAAGAATTTACCTATACTTCCAACAGGTTCCAACGCATTAAAAACACGACATGTGTCTATTCCGTTAGACCCAACACAATAGTGAACACAAAATCAGTAAGAAAATGGATTACACTCAGTTTGCTTTAGGCAAGGCAATCGAGAATATACCACTAAATCCTTCGTTCTACCTGAAACGAGACTGGACATGTTTAAGATTACCGTGAGACGTATGCTGGAGTACGGCCACCTGCATAGAATGGATCGAATAGTCTTAGAAAAGATTCAGCGTTCTTTCACGCAACTTCTTATTGGCCGGTCCACCACTCTGAACTATGAAGACCGCTGTCGCCGCCTTAAACTAGACCCTCTATGGCTGTGCCCCCTGAGAAATAATCTAGTTCGATTTTACACCATTATACATGGCCGGCTGTGCACTACCGGAATAGATCCCAATTTGAAAAACTCCTCAACCTATTCCACAAGAAATAGGGGTTAATCACTACCCGTAAAAAGAGGAACATAAAGAGCCGCTCCAACTTCTTCCTAGTAAGGTATATTCACATATGGTACCAACTGCCAATGAAAGTAAGCGCAAGTGAGAGACCAACAAAATTTAAAATGAACTTTGGTGCTCTACTCACCAATAAGAACATAATGAAAACATTCGGTCTTCAAGTGCCTACAGATGTGTTAACTTCATCAGGTCCAAACGATATATGACCTGTAATATAGTTTCACCACACGCTATCATATCCTAATTTTATACTCGAAAATGACGCCCTTAAAGTCTCACTTGTAGGCGGCGAAACAAAATATGTGTATCTCTTTATCTATCTTTCGTATAATGTAAGAATTCTACTGTTCTATGGTATTTGAATAAGTTGCATCACTTATTGTGTATTGAAAGCAGAAGCCAACTCATTAATAACGCCACCAGTTATTCTAAACTTCTGAAAATTTTTATCAGACCCATCGTATGGCATTCCACAATGTCACGAGACATGCTATTTCTCTACTTATTTCGTTGATATTTCTACCCCCTAAGTCAACTATTTCATATTATTCTCCTGTTATTCTGTTGATCACGAGCGGGCCGACCTCTGGAGGTGATGGTTTGAAGCTTCAAAACACCACGTATACCTACGCCAAAAGACCCACTGATGAAGATAAAAATTGTGCAGAAAACGCAGTCCAATCTGAACTGCAGAACTCACACCTTAATGGCATACATTGCCAAGCGGTTCTCCCGGGCATCATGCACGCATAAAGAACTACGAATAACGAAGGAGCTGAGTAATTCACCAATAAAAAAACAGTTGCCCAAATGCTGAATAAAATAGGTAGTGGCCAGCGTGCATTTAAACCACACCAATACATGACCAGACGGGGCGTGGAGGTGCGGGTGAAACCTCTCGAGGGACTACCCCACATGGAAGCAGCTCTCCGGGACACAGTTTCACGAATGACCGTATTACTTCATTTGTTCTTTCCTATCCTACTTTATTCTGCATGGAATCTGCTGGGTTCCTGGTTCCTAGTTACTTCATCTCTATCGTCCTACTGTCTTATTGTCAGTTCCCATTAACTTATCACTTAGACCACATCCTTGATCTTAGTTGTCATGTTTTGCCTCTCCACCTCTACAACAAAAATCGGATAACTATTGCACACTTTCCTAATCACCCTATCTTTGAAATCTACAAGAATATGATGCAATGAATATGTCCTGACTTTGCAGAGAATAGGCGTTTACTTGTCTGTTTATCTGTTTAATTCTCCTTTTTCAACATTACCTTTACCGTGCATAGTCACGCACGCCTTAACTATCCACCTACAAGTGAAGGCTGAAAGCAATGCAACTGAGCTCACCCAGCATCTGAACCATCTGGCAGCCCAAAACACAACTTGATTAGTTCAACTCCAGAATTAGACCAAAGAATGTCTATACACTACACTATGCCTTAACTCCCTACGATGTGAATACTGTCTACATTATTCTGATAAAGCAACTTGAGTTTGACGACACACTGGAGTCCGCTTAATATAGTCTTTTCCTTATGTTTGCAACTCCCTAACTTGCTACAAATAGCTCCAGCTGTATTACTCCAGTCTATTAAGTAAGATGGTGTACAACTCAGCTGATTTTGATTGGTGACTAACTATTTCATCGTTTTCATAATCCTTCCCCCCCCCCAATCAAACCGCCGCCACCATGGCACCACCAAGTTTCACCGAAAACAACCACATGGGAATGCACGCAAATTGGTAACATACGGCGACAAAGGTCCCAAATGAAAATATTCACAAAAACACCCCAATTTTAACCCTGTTTAAATCTAAAGCATTGACTCCCTCGCATGCCTGATCATGTTGCAATGTAAATATGATTCGTCCCTTTGTGGGCTCGGTTTCTCGGTACCACGAGAAATATTCCTTGTTATTATTAAATATAGCATTAAGAATTTCACATGTGGTAGACCATTTTGAATAGGCAACCATAGCATGATATCAGAGGGTCCTATCCATCGAACTGTTCATGCAGAGGAATGATATATAAAGTACAAATCACACTTCAACTTTAGCTTTCCACAACAAATGAGGGCAAATCAGTCATTTTAATGACTACACTGCCGGAAATAAGATAGTTTAACCAACGTCTTTACATGTATTTGAGTCAGTAATAATTTGCTACGGCTAACCGCCTAACTGTCATTAGCTTTAGAGGATGAAATAGTGAGCGAGGTAATACCGGCTCTCAACAAGGTACTACAAGATCACTTTCGTACCCATATGCGATCACCGGAGAGGGGTAGGTGCACTGCTGCTGATAGTGGGACGGTGAGAATCCAGTCGAAACTCAAACCTCGTGCATAATGCTGGAGGCACACCAGCGTTACTAGCCTGGTTCACATGAAAGTGATCCGGACAGTTAATTGAAATGAACAAGATTGCATTTAGCTAATATCAGGCAATCTTAAGAATCAACATCGTTTTACGGTCAAAATATAGCGCGCATGGACTATAACCAACGAGTGTACAGAAAACCCACAGGATGATTACCGAAACCATATTTTCGTAGGCGGAAGATGCATAGCAAGTGTGGAGCGCACATAGTGCGCGCTAGCAATGGATGAACAAGATAAGATTGAGCAACAGAAGTTAGGGATGTGATGCAGATATGATTAATAGAAACGAGAAAATTTTAAAATTTATTACCTAAGTGATTCAACTTGTTTGGAGGCATCAGCATGGGTATTGCAAACCAGCTCGGACCGATCACAAATATATGGTTCCTTATGTCATTTCGTAGCATCATTATGCAAAACAAAAGTCCTAACCTCGTACTATAGTACTGAATAAGCATGGAGTGGGTAACGGTGTTGCAAATTCAAACTCATTCAGGCAGCTGCCACATATGAGGAACAGCACAAGACATTTGTTCCGTCCACGTGGACCAATCGGTAAAGAGCATCTACCTGATCTTCCTATATCAAAGCACGACTTTTCCTAGCCAACGAGTTGGGTCATTTGAGCCATGGAGAGATAACGATCTAGCATGGCGGTCCGCTGCCATCCCCTGTGGTTTAGTGGCTTAAGCGTTGGCCAGTAATATTGGAGTCATAGGGTCAGATGCAGCACGGCCGGGCAGATGTGTGTAGGTGATAATTGCCAATGGAACAAAACGATTTTCTAGTGGCTGTGTGGTGTCTGCTCGACTGTGCGTTACCTTCTCAAAAATCTTTAACTAAGTAGACGAGTATTATCCACGATTGGGTTACTAACTGTCCGCTATTCTCTGTTGATTTGCGGGAGGAGAAAAATAGCGACTATGCAGGTGAATTATGGTCACACGTTTGTCAGCAAGATTTTTGGCAAGTGAGGTTGTAGATTGCTACGACGAGCGAAAGAAATATTTCAACACTGCCTAAGACATGTGCATTTGGTGTAGGTTATCCGGAGATACATTCTCAGCCAAAGGGAGGCAGGAAACTAAACACTAATCTGTACGTCATATAAACCCTGAGAAATTTCGCAGTATTCTTTCGCGGTCCATACTGAAACCATTAGTGACAAGTTCATCCTTGTAATCAGAATGTTTCCCCAAAAGTATAAAGTAATAGTGTACGCGTTAGGCTACTCTAGCGCTTATGTTCGCCAATGGTTTATATGTTGTACAAAAGCCGCAATCTGGTTGCATCGCACCCGCTTGTCTACATAATGTCAAACAGCAAAGCGTCGATTTCCGCACATACATGCTGATTACCAGTTAGGTTATGGAAACACAAAATCTCATTAGTGCTTAGTGCGTTAGATTTACTAAATCAAGCCCTTTGGATAATGAGAACCGTCGAGGTGACCTCCAGAGAATGAAAAAGTGCTGAATGTCTACACAGATACTAGACAGAAAGCGGCGCTAACGCGATTTCATGGAAACGTCCAATATTTTTAAAAAATATAAAAATCACTACAAGTAACAGTGTGATTCCAGGGATGTGAACGCTTGTGAAGTTGCACTAACAATCGCTATGTGCTGCTGCACTTTACAGGGCACTAAATCCAACTTTGATATTAGCTGTGGCTTCACAATGCTACTTACCAGTTACAGGATATGTTTCAGCAGAGTATATGCTACCTCGCTGCCTGTTGTGAAAATCGTTAAACTATCATTTGTACAGCTCAGGACTTCCACAATTTCGCATCTTTTAGTTAACTTACCTTCACATTTGCCAGCTAGTATCATCCATACAAATGTACCATCAGTTGTTTTGGAGTCAGCCCAGATCATTATCGTGAAATCTCGCATCGTATACTAGTCGCTCTATAGTAGGAGCAGCCCCTCGGAAAGAATGGATGCCTGAACCCAAATGATGTGTATGACCCATCACAATGAGGCTGGACCTTACCGTGGTGCGAT